CCCCAAAACCCCAAAACCCCAAAACCCCAAAACCCCCGTGTGACAAAATAGAGATAATATGTAATTGCATAAATAATAATAATAAAATAAATAGTAAGAATGGTGTTCCACATCACAAACTACATGAGAGAGACCAACGTATGGATGATCCGTAAAATGCGTTGGTTGCTATGGGGCTTCGTTGGATTCATCCCCATGTATAGAAATTTCTATTGGGACTACCAAGGTAGAAGAGTTGCTCTCAAGAAGTGGCTTGCAGGTAAATCTGAAGACGAGCAAAGACAAGAAGCCGAATCTCTCAGAGCCAACTGGGGATACAAGCCTCGTTATGAACCAGTCTATGAATTCTCACTTAAGAAATCAAAGTATGACACTCAGTCAAGAGAGGATTACTTCAAGGACTCTCCTCGTCTTGTAGTTACAAGTGGTCTTGATAGACAAGAATCGAGATTAACACCAAAAGAAGTCAGAACTATTGTTTCTATTGCCAAAGAGCACAATAGAACTCCAGGTCTCTTCGACTACAATGTCCCACAAACATTCTACTCATTATACCCTGAAATAGATCAAGAATCTTATGTAACTATCGGAAGCAGTGCCAAAAGAAGAGTTCATATTGATGATTAATGAGCTATGGTTGTTTCAGGTTGAGTTTCAACTTAAAATATCCTATATTTTTCAAGGCTGTGAAGGCCGATAACTTATCAATCCTTCATTCTTGATTAATTATTTAAATTCTTTAATACTTAAACCAAAACTTTATTGTTAATAAAATAGTATATAATTTACAAATTTAAATGGAAAAGGATATCGACTTATCACTTCTCAAAACACTCCAAGTCCTTCGTAACTATAAATTTGATTTAATAGTTTAGATAAGAAAGAGGATTGCGTGATAGAATTAGTTTAGTATCAAGATAGGAAATATGTCTTGAAGTCATTTATCAAAGCATAGCTAAAGAAGAATGATGCGCGCACTTCCTAAGTATTAAATGAGAGGGACATGCTAAGAGAGACTAATTTCCCAAATTTAAACAGATTAGTAACAACTACTAAAGATGAAAATAGAATTTGCTTGATATTGGAACTAGCTGAGGGAAGTGACCTTGTCTAGCTTTTAAGAACCTATAAAACATTACCTCAGAACTTAGTTAGAATAGTAGTAGCCTAGGTAAGTTTTTAACAAGATATCAAACTTTTAATTCTAAAAGGAAATGCATTAACCTGTATATTATTATCATCTTAATAAAAGAGATACACTTGTATTGACATTTTAAGGATAGATATTGATGACTTTTGAGTACCTTCATGCTGAGGATATATTATATAATGATCTAAAAGCTTCTCATGTTTTCATAGCACCTAATTTGAGAATAGAATTGGTAGATCTTGGGCTTAGTGAGCAATACTAGGATGGAGGGTAAATTAATAATTAAATATAGTTATATGTAGAACAGCTAAACCTGCAGGTACATTCCACTCAATGTCTCCAGAGATGTGCAAGCTTTACTTAAAAACTTCTTGTGAGTGCGAAATAGACTACTAAAAAGATCTAGCAACTACTGATTCTGATCTATATTCTCTAGGAGTTCTAATCGTAGAGTTGTTATTGGGCAAGCCACCTCATGATTATGTGTTTAAACCAAATGAAAGAACCTTTGACGAGAAGTAAGATTACTTGCACAAGGTAAAAGATGGACTGAAATAAGAATACTTCGACAGTATCAAGGATAAATTATCAGAAGATGCTTATGATTTTGTCTGTGGATTATTGAGAAAAGAAGCTAAAAGTAGATTGGGAAGTGGTAAAAAATTCAATGAGCTATGGAATCATAAATTCATGGGAGAGGAGATGAAAAAGTTGGCATAAAATTTAGTGCATGATAAGACTTACAAATTGAGTGAGGATTTGGAGCATGAGTTTGATGATATCTTAGATTTTGTAAGCATAGCAGGAGTATATCAAGATAGAGAAGATGATATCGATGCTGAAGCACAAGCAGCATTTGATGGTTTCTGATTATTTAAAAGCTTGAAACTTTAACAATTGAACCAATAACTTTTACTTTATTAATCAATTAAACAATCAAAATAATGTTATTAAATGATTCCATATTTGCACAAATAATTTTGCAGCTTCATAATTATAAGCTGCTAATATGAATCTAATTCACAAATGATATCAGTGTTTATTGAATATTTTGTAGAATTCACCCTACAAATCCCTTATGTTTTGTTATTTATCAGGGATATTTCTGTTTCCATACTACTCAGAAAGTTTCTAATAAAATCATTAGGACTTGATAAAGCTTACTGTTTTTTCTTTTTGAAGTTGCTCATTTTTTCTTCCAAATTCTTTCAACTCAGCTTCAAATTCCTATAAAATGAATAAATAAATAAATTAAGTACATCAACTTTTCCATTGTACTTTGCAGAAGCACCTGAGAGCCCCTTAACTCTCTGTCGGAGATCAGCTAGATCATTTTTAAAAGAAACAGACTAATCATAGAGAGTCTTAAGTGCTTCATCGTGTCCACCTCTAACTCTAGCATCTTGATTTTCAAATAGGACCTGAGCTTCGTCATCTAACTTTCTAGTAGGTCTTTTGTAAGAAGCATCCATTCTATTCATTAAGGATTTATACTTGTTTTCCATAGAGTAATCCATATTAGTTTCAACTGTTTGTATATTTCTTAAATTGAATAATTAGAAATAAATTTCAAAATCTTAAAATTAATATGAAATTTATTGAAAATTTATGGCAATTCCTGCCTAAGGGGTTTTGGGGTTTTGGGGTTTTGGGG